AGATCATAGACGTCATGCAATAAACTTGGGCATCTGTCAACATAATCCCATAGAAACATTAATCGACTTGTATCTGCATCATAAAGTTATTCTCGATTGAAAATGTCAGTTTACGAGCCAAATTCTCGTCATTTGCGGGAGGTTTTAATTTTCTGCTTCAATATGAAGAACTCTGCGGTTGAGGCTCACCGAATGCTCTCAAATACTTATAGTGAGGCTGCTATTAGTGAAAGAACGTGTCGTGAGTGGTTTCAATGCTTCAAGAACGATGATTTTCACGTCGAAGACCAGCATAGCGATGGAAGAGAGAAGGTTTTTGAAAATGCAGAATTGGAGGCATTACTTAATGAAGACTCGTGTCAAAGTCAAGAAGAATTGGCACGATCATTGGGAGTGACTCAACAAGCAATTTCAAAACGCCTCAAAGACATGGGAATGATTCGGAAGCAAGGAAATTGGGTGTCGTACGAGTTGAAACCGAGAGATGTTGAACGGCGTTTGTTTGCTTGTGAACAGTTGCTTGAAAGGCAAAGACGGAAGGGATTTTTGCATCGCATTGTGACTGAGGACGAAAAATGGGTTTATTACGATAACCCTAAGTGCAGAAAATCATGGGCATATCCCGGCCATGCTTCCATGTCGACGGCCAAACCGAATATTCACGGCTCCAAGGTCATGCTCTGTATTTGGTGGGACCAGCTCGGCGTAGTGTATTATGAGCTGTTAAAACCGACTGAAACAATCACAAGCGATCGTTATCGAACGCAATTAATGCGTTTGAGCTGAGCATTGAAAGACAAACGGCCGCAATACAACGAGAGACACGATAAAGTGATTTTGCAGCATGATAATGCTCGACCCCATGTTGCGAAAGTGGTCAAGACATACTTGGAAATGTTGAAATGGGAAGTCCTACTCCACCCGCCGTATTCTCCAGACGTTGCTCCTTCTGACTATCACTTGTTTCGATCAATGGCACACTGGTTGACCAGCACTTCCGGTCTTGTGAAGAAGTAAGAAATTAGATCGATTCGTGGATCGCTTCAAAAGATAACCAGTTTTTTCAACGTGGGATTCGTACGCTGCCCGAAAGATTGGAGAAAGTAGTGACCAGCGATGGACAATATTTTGAATCATAAATGTATAACCAGTTTTTTACAATAAAGCCTCGAATTTCAGAAAAAAACGGCGGAAGCAAAGTTTACACTTAATAATAACATTCAGGATTCATACTTGGCACTTTTATATTAATATGTGTGCCATCAAGCGAACCTATTATTTTAGGAAAAGCACTAAGCATAGCAAATCCTTTGAAAACTTCTTCTATTCTTTCTTCTTTAGGCCACTTGATAAAAATCGGAGTAAGATGCACGAGTACCCTTGTAACTCTCCTTACACTTCTTAATGCAGTTGCTCTTCCAATATCAAATTTCTCAGAAATAGATCTATATATAAATTACATGAATGTAAAATTCTAAAGATTTTTCTCTATCTCTTTTTATGTAACCGCACATACACACACACACATACACACACACATGTATATTTCTGCATATTTATTAAAAATGATATAATGTTAGATATAAAAATAGTTAAATCATAATTTTACTGACCGATACGAATCTGGTGTAGCCATTTTACATATGCAAATAAAAAATTGCTTTTCAATGGATATAATTTTGGGACCTGGTTTTGATCTTATTAAATAAGCGGTTTCATAAGGTTTAAAATATAATTAATAGTACATCGTCGCATTCTAAAGATATTAATGTTATTTTAAAGGACAAAATTTTTACAAACTATATTGCATAATATATAATAATAATAAATATATTGTACCCACACAACACATATGTCTTAAAGACGTTATCAAAAGACGTCTAAAAGACGTCTAATTTCGAATGTCTTTAAGACGTTGCCCAAAAGACGTCTGAAAGACGTCTTATTTCAAATGTCTTTAAGACGTTGTTCAAAAGACGTCTTTTAGATGTTTTATTTGAGACGTCTTTAAGACAATTTGTTTAAGACGTCTTTTAAACTTCTTATTTGAGACGTCTTTAAGACGATTTGTTTAAGACGTCTTTTAGATATCTTATTTGAGACGTCTTTGGGACGATTTGTTTAAGACGTCTTTGGGACGATTTGTTTAAGATGTCTTTTAGACTTCTTATTTGAGACGTCTTTAAGACGATTTGTTTAAGACGTCTTTCAGACTTCTTATTTGAGACGTCTTTGAGACTTTTAAATTATGATATTATAATGATGTCTTTTTTCAGACATCTTTTAGACATGAATTATTACGTCATAATTACGTCTTTTTTAAGACGTCTTAAAGACTTTTAAATTATGATGTCATAACGACGTCTTTTTTCAGACGTATCATTTATTACATAAAAATGACATAATTTTTAAGACATTTTAAAGACTTTTGAATTATGACGTAATCATGACTTTTTTTTTAAAGATGTCCTTCTCAGCAAACAATCTGTGCGCAGACTGATAACTTTGCGTTCTCCGAGTCTCTCTTTCTCATTGGTAAATGATTCTGCTTTTTATTTATTTTTTCAAACTGTCCTTAGAAGTATCAGTAAAATTAATTCAATTTAACATTATTATATTCTTATTCTTGACTGGATCTAAGAGCATAGACCAATCACGGAAAATTTCGATTCAGTAAGAAACGTCGGACAGGAAGGAGTGAGGCAAAACGTGCACATTGCTTTCCCGACACCAGTGGTGCGGTTCTTTAATTCGTTATTGGAGTTGTAACGAGGCGCAGATGCACCTCGTTACTACCGGCCCGACCAACCACCTGTCGGGCCGAAGAACGGCGCTGAGCGCCACCCTAAAAATACCGAGACGATCGCGCCGCCGCTATCACGCGCTGCCGCTAGCGCGCGCGGCCGCGATCACGCGCCGTCGCCGTGCCTCGCGCCGATAGGCGCGCCGCTCGATCGCCGCCGTATCAATCGTAGCGCGATCAATTAGAAAACGGCGGCGATCGAGCTTCTAGTCACCAGACCGATCCGTACCGCCGATTCGATCTAGACGCTTCATGCCGAAAGAGAGAATATCCGGACCGTTTCGCTCTGCCTTCCGCTTTCCGATTACCCGACCGGCCACTAAGAACACGGGATTGTGCGTCCGCAGTCTCGATCGAGCGTTCTCGATACTTGGCCGTCTCCCGTCTTCCTGGGCTCGTGTGTACGCGTGCTCAGTCGAGCGTACTCGATAGTCTATCGCCTTTACCCGCCGCCTTGAGCCAGGGGTTCGTCCGTCGGCGAACTCCGCTGAGCGTACTCAGCCTTTAGGCGATCCGTCTAGCGACCAAGAACCCGGGACGGTGTGTCCGCCGTCTCCGCTGAGTGTCCGCAGCACTTGGTCGCTTTCCTCCACGAACGTAGGGAAAAGGGAAGGTGCGTACGCCTCCTCTGTCGAGAGTCCTCGGCCCCGACGGACGAAATCATTTCGCGTATCCCGCGACTCGCGTGCGTGCGTCCGACCGAGAATCGAAATCTCCGGTCCGGCGACCATTTATACGCGAGCGATTTCGAAGCAAGTATTGGGCGATAATTGTTCGAGACGCCCAGCGTCGCGCAGCGTGACCGATCACCGCATCGTTACCGTCGTTACCGTCTACACGCGTCACGTAATAGGCCCCGCCTTCTGCACGGCCTATCCGTCTGTACGAGCGCTTGTACCGCTCACTGCACCGCACCGTACCGTACCGACGCGCCTTATAGACGCAACCCGCGACACCGCCTTCGGGGCCGAACTCTTGTATCTCAATAAGCATACGATAAAACTAAGTTATTTTAATTGCCGTTATCAAGTGTCCCGCTGCTTTATTCCTCCTCGAATCCGGACTCCGACGAGCCTTATCCGCGCGAAACGCGTAGCAGCGACCGAACCGCGGAGTTCGGCCGTTACAGAGTTAACGACAGTTTCGTTAACTCCAATAACGAGTTAAAGAATTGCGCCGCAGCAGCTGGATTCTGTAGCTCGTTATTGGAGTTAACGACAGTTTCATTATCGTTGCGCAGCTTTTGTATACCGTAGAAAAGCTGCACAGCGATAACGAAACTGTCGTTAACTCCAATAACGAGTTAAAGAATTGCAGGGGCACTACGAGAGCGCTGAAGAGCAGACAGCAGCGAATGCGAGCAAGCGAGCAAGCAAGAGAGAGTGAGAGAGAGGTGCTTATTGACTCGTTTTCTAGGGAGGTTGTTCTTCAATTTTTTTTATAACATAGTATACATTCATTAACCTATTTTTCCCAATGTTGTGTACACGCAACATGAAGTTTATATAATTAATTACTGACGTTAGTAATTATTTTTTTTCACGAAGTGTTAGACTAATTGTGAAATAAGTTCATTTTGACTGGATTTTGTGAAGTTAAACTTCGTGTTGCGTATACGCAACATTAAGAAGAAATGGTGTTAAGTATGCAACATCGATGCACCGTCATCAGTGGGATATACATTAGTGATTGATTAGGATTTTTTTGATTAAACATCAGTGATTGATTAAGAATATATACATACATTAAGTATGCAACATCGGTACATCGTCATCATCAGTGGGATACACATTAATGATTGATTAGGATATTTTTTGATTAAACATCAGTGATTGATTAAGAAGTAAGTATGATTATTAACAAAAATGATTATTAACAAAAACATGCAAGGAAGTATACGAATTTGCGCAGAAAGAACATTCCTGCTATAGAAAATCTTTAGAAAATGCTATAGAAAATCTCAAGGACTTCACACCGTCGCGAAAAAAGAAAAAAAGCATCGGTTGTGGTCTATGCATTGCCGGAAAATACAACTTAAGGACTCGGGTATGTTAAATTTTATATTATCTCCTCATCTTATTTACCTCTAATTCGTACGTTTTATTTGAATGAATAGGTGCTAATCACGTGCACAAGTTTGCACTTTGTGATCATCCCGGCCGTCAGTGTGATAATTTATGCCCATGTATATAAGCATAAAACTTCTGCGAGAAGTTTTATCAGTGCAGCAGCGAATGCCAGAACAGATTTCCTGAGTGTAGGTGTAAGGCGCAATGCAATACAAAGCAGTATCCTTGTTATCTGGCTGTCAGGGAATATGATCCGGATCTTTGCCAAACGTATGGTGCAGATTATTTCCAAATCAATTCTAAATCTTGCAAAAATGTCAGCGTGCAACGTGGTCTTTATAAGTATCGAAAAATTTAATTTATTAGAGTGAAAATCAGTATAATCTCAATGAGTAGAATTTTTGATTTGAAATATACTTTATACAATTTGAAAGATCAGCAGCGAAGAATGAATTCATCTCGGAATATTGCGGCGAAATTATCAGTCAAGACGAAGCTGACAGGAGGGGAAAAGTATATGATAAATATATGTGTAGTTTCCTTTTTAATCTTAACAATGGTAAGTAGAGATAGTGGTTAATTAAATGTTGAAAAATAATAAAAATTAAAAGTTTTTGGTCGGTTTCAGATTTTGTTGTAGACGCGACACGGAAAGGGAATAAAATAAAGTTCGCTAATCACTCGATAAATCCAAATTGTTATGTGAAAATAATGATGGTGAACGGTGATCATAGAATAGGTATTTTTGCTAAGAGAGCAATTCAACCTGGTGAAGAATTATTTTTTGACTATAGGTATGTCGCTGTAATGTTTTGTTTAATTTATTAATTTCAAACAATCAAAATCATGTGATAATTTTCAGATATAGACCACGGAACAATTAAAATTCGTCGGTATTGAGCGAAAAATGGAGTTTCTCTAATATATGTATATATATTATATGGACTTTTACATGTATAAATGGTGCATCAAGCGAATACATACAGCTGAAATATTAGAAAGGAAATAAGCACTGCCTGATTTGTATGCCTCTCTATTTTTAATTAAATTTTACATTTTCATTTGTCTGCCCAATTTTGCAAAATTGTAATAGAGATTTTTTGTACATGTAGGTAAAGGAACTTTTTAAATATGTTCAAGTCTTTTATGGACATCTCGAAACAAAAATATCAAAGTAAAAATATACATATACAAGTACAAAACTTCTGCGAGAAGTTTTATCAGCAGCGAATGCCAGAACAGATTTCCTGAGTGTAGGTGCAAGGCGCAATGCAATACAAAGCAGTGTCCTTGTTATCTGGCTGTCAGGGAATGTGATCCGGATCTTTGCCAAACGTATGGTGCAGATCATTTCCAAATCAATTATATTATATTATATTATATTATATATATTATATATTATATTATATTATGTTATGTTATATTAAATAAAATTAAATTTTATTATATAAAATTACGATTATTTATTAAAATTAAAGTAACCTGTATTACCGACTATTAGATTATAAACGTCTTAAAATTATCTTAAATAAGACGCCGTTTAGACGTCTTAAATTAATGTCTAAAAGACGTCTTAAAATAATGTCTAAAAGGCGTCTTAAAATAATATCTAAAAGATGTCTTAAATCGGGACATAAGACGTCTTAAAGACGTCATAAAGGCGTCATTCTGACAACTTTTTAAGACGTCTAAAAAATTTTAAAACTTCTTTTAGATGTCTTTTAGACGTCATATTGTTGTGTGGGGTATTTTTATATTTTTTAAAAATATGTATGCTGCCTGGGATTGTTTTTTTGGAATGTATTTTGGATTGCATTGGAATATTTTTCTATTATATATATCATAAATTTTATAAATAAAATATACCTTAGTGAAAATTAATAATATAACAACAACTGTACATTGTATATTTTGAATGTAATTAATTTATAATATTTTTTTAAACTTGGAAGAAATAAAATAATTATTTAAAAATGTATTTGTTCAAAAATTATTACATTTACCTAAAATGTGATTTAAATTGCTCCTCATTATATGCTGGTATAATTTCTTCAACATAATTGTTTAGTCGTGGGATTTCAGCAATCGGATTTTTAATTAAAAGTAAAATGAGAAATATATTTTCTAATTCCTCATTGTAATTTTTTTCTTCGTTATTCAAAATATCTAACAAAAGTAAGTTTTCAGCAAATAAGGTTAATATTTGTTTACGTTTGTCTTCCATATTTAACGCTTATATTTACTTATTCCTTTAAAGCGAACGATTTTAATTGTTTCAAAGTGAGCGCTTAGAAGCTAAACGGAACGATTGAAAATAGCGTTCATAAGCATAAGCGCATAAGCGCTTACAACTCGTGAGCGCTCAAAGCGAACGCAGCCTATGCAGTAAGGCCTAGTCTACAATATGTATTGTAAGCTGTAAGCCGTAAGAACTGACCAATTATAGCAGATTATTTTTGTGATAATCGACTGTGATTCGCCAATTCTTACGGCTTACAACTTACGACATGTATTGTAGACCAAGGTTTAATGTCAAGATGATGTCATTGTGACGTCATCGATATATATATCGATACATTGAAGGTATCGAGATTGATATATTGGTGTTGATTGGTTATTGCAAAAACAGCATTTATGGTTTGTTCTTTGTAGCTGCACTGCTGAACTAGTGCAATAAGCTAGAGCAGAGCTCGGCAAAATTTGCACGCGATGGCCGATTTTCGACTATCTCCGCCCACCGCTATTCCCTTTACCTCGCCGCTCCGCGCGCTGCCTATCGACTACCGCGTGAATTTCTGCCGCACGGGAAATGTTGCTGCGTATTGTGTGCCAGATCCATTAATATGGAGAAAGTTCCACAAGAGAAGAAGTTACAAGAAAATGGATTTTCTGCATTTTTATCACTATTTATGTTGCGGAAGTTCGATGTGATTCGACTATGCTTGAAAATAGAAAGAAAATGACTTCATTCAAGATATTTCTAATTATTTTCACACAAATATTTTTTGTCCCTTGATTCTTCTAGTATTTGTTAGATTTTAGACTTCGCAATAGTTGAGATAGAATTAAAGTTGCTGAGATAGAATAAAACTTTACTGTGGCATAATGTGCAGGCCAGCCCACTCCTAACCTCCTAACCTCAAACTAATATCCTAGACCAAGCCTGTCTAACCGTTAGTAGCAAAAGAGCCATTGGCCGCATTCAGCGCACAGAACAGCTGTGGATTTATGCGCTAAATAATCTGTTTTCCGGAGCGCTCCCACAACATGTTACGGTAGTGGACGCCATTTTTTCCAGCAAAAATTTTTACGCTATATCGGCACAACTGTTACGAGATGTCTTATATCGTTTATTGTTATGGTTATGTACGGAATTGATCGCAATGGCCTTTTATGAAATGGAATACATATATAACGGATTAAATTATAATATTGTAGATTCATTGGAAGTACATGAGAAATTGAAGAATGGTACGTACAATTAAAAGAAATATTACTTTAAAATTAAATTATATAACTAATCTACAAATACAACTAACCTACAACCTACAAAATCTTAAATTACACTATTATTATATCCCAGTAAACATATATGTCTAAAAGATGTCTAAAAGATTTCTTTAAGACGTCTTTTAGATATACAAGTCTAAAAGATATCTTAAAGAAATCTTTTAGATATCTTTTAGACATGTATGTTTACTGGGATATATCATACTTGCTTATGTGCGATAATAATATGTATAATAATAATTGTACATGTTTTAGATGATGCTTTCTTCCAAGCATATATGAAAAACAACTTAAATTCTTTGGAAGTTGCTGGTTCTAATAATGACACTTTTACAGAAAATTGTAGTGGACACATCGCAAACAGTAAATTCATTAAAATATAGTTTTTGGTATCACAATTGACTTCATCATTAACATTTAGTTTATTATCATTAACATTAATATTACATTGTAAAATATATTTTATGATTTAGATATACTTGATTCAGAAGAAAGCAATAAACAACAATGGACAGTAAAACTTCTACAAAATTATTATTGGAATTGTACAAGGAGAGAAAAGAAAAATTCCGTGATTCCAAAATCAAGAAAAGAAACCTGTGGACACAGATTGTAAAAGAAATGGATAAAAATGGTTATAAGTCTTTGACTGAAGATATATTGGACCGAAAGTTACGCAATTTAAAAAAGACTTTCAGAACAATAAAGGACAATAACCGAAAAAATTCAACGGGACGAGGACATATAACATGGGAATATTATGATATTTTTGAAGAAATATTCCTTGATGACCAGACAATAAATTTTGGACCGACAATTTCTTCTATGGATTGTGCTGTAACACAATGTTCATCATCTGCTACGTCAACAATTTTATCTCCTGAAGTATCCACTACATCTTCAACAAGATTAATTGTTTCTCATGAACAACCAAGACTGTCAACTCGTTTATCACCTGTAAGGACGCTATCTCCTGCATTGATAAGATATGTGTGTCATCACCATCAAGAACACCCATACCCGTATTGATGAGCACTTTAACATATTCTTCACATTTCTTCGATTCAACGTTCATTGGGGATTCGTTTATCAAAGAAAATATTATAAATTCTTTTTACTCATCTTCTTCTTCTTCTTCTTCTTCTTCTTCTTCTTCTTCTTCTTCTAGTGTAACAGCAGAACATTCTTTGAGCGAAACTGAAAGTTCTTCCTCTGTTCTTCCAAATTCTCCCGAATATATTAATTATTAAGTCAACGACGAAAAAAAATACTTCAAAAAAACATATGATTTGCGAAAGCAATTACTTGCGGTAGAAAATGAGCGAGTTCAAATGATAGCCGAATTGAAAAAAAGCATCGACAACAATAACAAAATTCAGCAAGAGAGGAACGAGCTTTTAAAAAAACTCATTGATAAAATATAAAAATAAAGTTATCTATTATTTAAAAAAAGGTTTTCTACTAAAGTTTTCTATAAGGTTTAGATTTAAGATTTGTAAAAATGGCTTATATTTATTAAAAATAAACGGCTTATTACAAATTACTTGTTTGCAAATTTATAAATTAGCTACAATAGCATTCTTCTTTTCTATTGCTTCCTGCATCTGGAACCTATCCTCAACTGTATTTTGTTGATATATATTGATTGTAGGAACATTGTCGTCATCGATTCTAATTCTTTCATAGTCTTCTATTTCCCCATTATCAATTATAAAATTGTGGAGCATGCATATACATGCTATAATTGTGTTTCCAAAGTTTGCATCGGAAATGTCTAAATTTTACTTTAAGTAATCCAAATGCTTGCTCTATAATCGAGCGAATAGAACTTAGTCTGATATTATAGCGAATGTGAACTGCAGGAAGATGCCCATTATCTCGAAATGGGGTCATTAAATTATACATTAACGGATATGCGCTGTCTCCAATTAAATGCTCGTGTGTAAGAAGTGGGTTCTCTCTATCCGTCAACTTTTGAAACAATCTACTATTTCTGAACACGCGTGCGTCGTGCATTCTTCCTGGTATTCCAATGAACACGTCGATAAAGCGTGCAGAATGATCGCAAACTCCTATAAGAAATTGATTTCTTAATTTATTAATAAATTTACTTTTTATAGATTGCGTAAAATTTGAAAATAATACTTTTTCTTTATACCTTGTAATATTATTGAATGGAATTGTTTTCTGTTGAAATAATCGTTTGCATTTCTAAGTGGCTGCTTTATTGGTATATGGCATCCATCAATTGCCCCCACGACATTTCGTATGCCATGTGAACGTTCTGCGAATATCTAAAATATATATAAAAATAAATCTAAATGAAATTTAACTTATGTAAAACACGTTATTAAAATTCTCACTTGCGATGAAATAGCTCGTTGTACAGCATTTGACCACCGAACATACTGTGGCATTAATTCTGCTAAAACAAATACTATTGATTTAAATATGCCATGTCTCGTGCTGGTTGGAATATCAAATCGATCACCAACAGTCAGAAAAGACTCAGGCTTACTTAACAACCATATAGTAAATAATAACTTCTTATTCAGAGGGAGATTGGCATTCAGTTGATCATTTTGCATATGATTTCCAACTACGTTTAGCAATACCTAAATAAAAACAGCAAAAAGAAAGAATAATTGTGTACTGCATTATATATACATATATATTACGGGAGAAATTCGTACCTCAAAAGTTCTTCGAGTCATTCGAAAATGTTCTTTAAATTGATCGTCCGTATATGTCGGAATTGTTAACTCAAAATATTCCACATTGCGCGTTTTTGCAGCTCGACGTTGTCTAGGGTATAAGTTATTTTCGGGCAACGGTTGGATAACATTATCGACAATATTACGTACAATATTCATATTCAGCCCATCATCAGCCGCAATTTGAAACATATTAATATTATTCATATTTGTCACGTTCTGTTTTATGTTGAGTAGTAGGTCTATTTGTATTGCATGCACTTTTTGAACTTTTGCACTAAGTGTACACTATCATCGAGTGCTCACTCAGCAAAATATTCAGCGGAAAAGAGCGCTGAGGAAGGGAGCGATCCCGCAACAGTTTTGTGCGCTGAATGATGCCATTGATCCCACTTACCGCTATGGGCTTCCCCCACCATTACGTCCTCAGTCACGGCATAATGCACGGCGCCAAATGTTCTTATTTACGCACAAGCAGGGACGACGGGAAAATTAAACACATTAGAGATGATGTCGCGATGGTATACAACTATTTCAGATAATAAAGCAAGCCATTTTGCAATGCCATTTTATACGTTGCTATTTCGATATGTTTAATGCGAAATTTGTGGTTGTCTCGCTTGATCAATAAGTGCTGAAATATTAACCGAAATTTCAGAAGTTACGATCCGTATTAAATGGGACAGTGCAGCATTGGTCATCGAAACACGATTTTTACTTTTTATTTGCTTCATTACTGAAAACGTACTCTCACAACGATAAGTTGAACCGAACATAGAACAGAGTTTAAGGCCGAAATCTTTTAATTTAGGATAAGTGGTCTCCGGTAAAAGTTTAAAAAATTCCAGTCCACTTTCTGTTCGTCCTATCAGAAAAGGATCAGCTTGTAGATCGTACAACTCCATTCGATATTTAACTTTTTGTTGATCAATTGCAACTGTCATAAGATTGTTAAGAAGAATAATATCACTTTTTAAATTGTCAAAATCAGTAAAACGTACATTAAACTCATCTATAAGGTTATTTATAAAATTAGAAAAATGGATAAAACTTATAGAAGGAAAATCTTTTTTCAACTCTTCACAACAAGGGAAGTGAATTAATTCATCTTTCATTACTTCTATTTTAAACACAGTTAAACGGTTCCGAAATCCATTTATGTGGTGCATTAAATTTGAGATAGTTTGCTTTTGAATTTGTAATTTTAAATTAAGATCATTCAAATGTTGTGTAATGTCAACTAAAAAACTAAGCTCGCTCAGAAAGTTTGAATCTTAAAATAATTCTTCCAAATCAGCGGTATCACTCTTAACTTCATTTTTAAAAAATATAGGTATTTCATTTCTAAGAACGAAGAAACGATTCAAACATTTACCAACACTTAACCAACGAACTTCGCAATGCAGCGGTAGATCTCGGTACACAGCATGTACTTCTTGCGAAAATGCTTGAAATTTGCGGTGAGATAAAGATTTATTACCGTCTCTAATTAAATTTGTGATCTTTGTCACTAATTTCATTACTGTAGCCATCTTTATATTTTTTCCGCATAATGCCTCTTGGTGAATAATACAGAGTAGCATTGGACAATGAATATTATGTTTTCTTAATTGTCCACAAAACCCATTTTCAGTTCCTACCATTGTCTTTGCTCCATCAGTTACAATAGCAGTGCATTTTTCAAAACAATTACAAAATTCATTTACATGTTCAAAAACAGCATTAAATATATCAATACCTTTCGTCGTATCATGTAATGAAACCAATGATAATAATTCTTCATTAATAGAAAAGTCGTTTGGATACATTTCACAAATATACATAATTGACTAACATCTGAAATATCTGTGCTTTCGTCAAGGCATAGCGAAAAATATCGACAAGTTTGCAATACATTTTTTAACTTTTGTTTAATATTCATATCAATTTCTTTAATTCTAAGAGCAACCGTTTGACGCGATAATGATACGTGTTTAAATAATTCTATTGTTTGTGTATTATCGAAAGCTTTAGCTATTTCAATTGCACATTTTTTAATCAGTTCTCCGTCTGAAAAACACTTTTTCGCTCGTGCAATTTCTAAAGATACGGCATAAGACGCTGCAAGGCACTGTTGTTGCAAGGTTTTATTTGAGGATGGATTATTATTAACATTTTCTAGCGTGTGTTGCATTTTGAGATCTTTTAAAATTAGTATTCTACTATCTCCATTATAATGCCCGTAATCATTTGCATGACTTGTGCTATAATGACGAGAAATATTAAAAGATGTAATAGAGGAAATTGCAGTGCCACATATTAAACATTGCGGTTTATTTTCCGCATTTAAGAAAAAAAATAATCAATTTCCCATCTCTGTTGAAATTGTTTATTAGACGTGTCAAGCTTTCTTTTCGACATAATAGTAATGTTAATATAATATGAATATGTTAATATAATAGAAAATAATATAAGACTATAATAATAGAATAATATAGTTAGAGTAATTAAAGTTAATATAATAATAGTAATAATAGGGATATGAATATTATTTAATAGCATATAATAATAAACGAAATTTCTCAAAAGCGATATTCCTCTCACTTACGATGCTCCTAAAGGAACTAACAATAAGGCCAAGAGTCAGAGAAAACCCACGAGTGGCTCGTGAGAAGCGGCGTGCCCTGCAGTCGACTGGAAGAGTGGGAGGAGCCATGCTTGAGCTCCATGGTGGGGAAAGAGCCTCGAGCGGCTCGCGAACCGCAGGTTAGACAGGGCTGTCCTAGACAGATGTATTAGGAGCGCAAAAAAGTTCTGAGCCTTAGATTTCATACTACTGAAACCACAATGTAAATTGCATTAATTTTCCCGCCTTCTTGCGATTTTAAAGTAGTGACATTTGGTCTTTCGAAACATCGTGCGATTTGGCGTTTGATGCACATAACCTTAAAATCAGCAGTGTTCACGATGGCAATAACAAAAGAGCATATTCGATTTTCCACCCACTTCGCGTTTCATCTGAAGAAAAATGCTGCTGAAGCCACTGAAATGATCTGTGTTGCATATGGAGAGAACGCTGTAAGTTATGCTACGTGTAAAAGGTGGTATCAAAAATTTCGCCAAGGAGATTTTAATCTTGAAGATGAACCACGTGCTGGACGCCCTCAAAAGATTGAAACGGACGAACTGCAAGCATTGTTGGATATAAACTCTGCACAAACTGAAAAGGAGCTTGCAGAGCAACTTGGCGTTACGCGACAAGATATTTCCACACGTTTACATGCAATGGGAAAAGTTCAAAAGGAAGGCAGATGGGTTCCGTATGCACTGTCCGAAGACAACAAAAATCGACGGCGTGACACGGCACTCACTTTGCTTTCAAGGTTCCGGAAAAAGGATTTTCTGCACCAAATCATTACAGGTGATGAAAAGTGGATACTTTATGATAATCCGAAGCGTAAAAAATCATGGGTTGACCCTGGTCAACCTTCGACATCGACGCCAAAGACCAATATCCACGCCAAGAAGGTTTTGCTTTGCATATGGTGGAATTGGAAAGGTGTATTGTATTACGAGTTGTTACAGCCGGGTGAAACAGTAACGGCAGATCGCTATTCAGCAACAATTGAGCAATTTGAGCGATGCGTTTGAAGAAAAGAGGCCATTTACTGGCAAAGGACGTCGTAAAGTGATACT